GAGAGAGAGAGAGAGAGAGAGAGAGAGAGAGAGAGAGAGAGAGAGAGAGAGAGAGCGTGTGTGTCTCTGTGAGTGGATGCTGTGTGTATGAGGGTACCTAACGAGGCCAGATAGCTTCAGAATCTGGGAGCTGGAGCTACAGACAGTAGTGGGCCCTGGAATGTAGGTGCTGGGAACCAAACTCGAGTCTTCTGGAAGATCAGCAGGTGCCCCTAACCACTGAGCCACCTGCGGACCATATTATACCACTTAATACATGAACTACAGAAACAGGATTTTACTGAGTGTCGGTATGTACATATGTGTGTATGTGTCTGTGCACATGTATGTGTGTGTGTGTGCTAGCCAGAGGGAAACTTCAGATGTCCTTCAGGTAATGTTCATTTTTTTTTTTTTTTGACAGGCTCTCTTACTTACCTGGAACTCACAGAGTAGGCTAGACCTCAGAAATCCACCTGTGCCTGCCTTCCCAGTGGCTGGGATTACACCCATGCACCTCCAAATTTGTCTTTTCTTTTTTTCCTTTTAATTGAACATCTCCTGCTCCTTATTCTGATTTTTTGAAAGGGCAGTTACTGCTTCATCCCTTTTGGGCTTTGAGCTATGTGTTACTTCCTCTCGTTTTCAAATCACCATTTTCCTCACTCAGGATACCGGTGTCCAAAGTGTTTCAGATACTCATCTCCTTCAGTTACTGGACAATAAAAGTGCTGGAAACTGAAGGAGGAAGCACAAATAATGTATTTCTTTATGGAAAGGGGGTAATATCAAGGCAGGAAACGTCCCCTCAGAACATGGCGGGAGAGTATGTACGATGGGAGGGCTGGGTGAGGGGAAGGTCTGTCACAAGTGTTACCTCTCTGTGGTTTCAGAGGAGAGTGTCCTCTTGGAGGAGCGCGCTTTTCCCAGCCTAGCAGTCTACCTCTGTCGAGGGCCTTTCCATGTACTCCTTTGATAGGGTCTGGGACCAGTGCCCACTCCCCTAGCAGAGATGGGTCTCTACTCCTGGAAGGGCTGGGCGGGGAGCAGTCAGAGCCCTTCTGGGATTGTTGCAGGACCAGGAAGGAACTCAACTGCTCTTCCCACAAGGCAGGCTGGGGTTGGGACAGCCCATCTCAGGTCCCTCACCATCAGTCCTCTTGGCGCTAGACCACACATTTAGGCAAAATGTTTGCTGGCTCCCTTTCTGGGTGCTTGAGCCTTTACAATGGTTTTTGTGCTAAGTCATTAGCTTGAGGGATCCTTATTTGTGGTCGCAGAACCCAACAGAGCATCTGGAACCAAATGTAGGATGAACATTGTTGGCCATGATGTTGCAGAAATCTCTACTCTGTTTCCTGTAAATGGTGCTGTTTTTTCTCAGACTTGATCCTCGAGCTGTGACTTGGCCAAGCGCTTCATTGCAGCACAGCTATGAAGAGCATCATTTGCATCAATCGGTGGCCCGTGCAGGTATCCATCACGTTCTGTGCTATGGAGCTCTTCATTGGGAGCTCGGTTTGTGAACTCTCCTTCCACTTGGCTTCCCACCAGCTTCCCCTGCCATCCTCTGTCCCTACCAATGTGGTCATGGGCTAGGAAATCAGTAAAGCTCTTAATCGGAGACAGTGGGCAGCAACAATAGCAGCTGGCTGGTCCTAACTCATAGATTCTCGTACAGGAGGATGCGCAAAAGACAGCCAATGGGGAGCTCTGGGATGAGGCTCACGTGGAGCCCTGACTTTTCTGCTTTTATTTGTTAATTTATTTTGATTAATTAGTTATTGCAGTGTTGAGGCTTTGTATATACTAGGCAAGCATACTACCACTACTCCAAACTCCTTGATGGTGGATTCAGAAAGGCTTCTTTCTATTAGCTGAGCACACCCCCAGTCCCCCCACTGGTGGATTTTAGACAAGACTCTATCACCAAGCTGCCACTTCCCTAACCCCTATCTCCTAGTGAGCATTCTACTGCTAAGCCATTACCCCAGTGCATGGGATGGCTTTTCTAAGCTTCTCTGGTTTAGCTTCCATGGTCCTGTCCATGTGGCCCTTATCTCCAGACTCAGTATGGGGGAAACCTACATCCCTCCTCTTCTGTCAAAAAACAATCAAAACACCCTGCGACTTTGAGTCATTTCCCCACCCATGGCTTTCCCCAGAGAATTCACAAGATTCATCTCCTTGCAAAAGTGATATCACTTTCACAGTGAATCTGTTTCTACAGTCTTTCTGTATTGAAGGCACTTCCCATATCCAGGGTAAACAAGGATGGCAGTTAGCAGCTGTGCATTAGAAGCACATTGGGGAGACAGACAGTGTGGCTTCCCTTGTCTTGGTGGGTAGGAAAGAACTACTCCTACCATGCCCCAGCAGATCAGGATTGGAAGACCTCAAGCATCCTTCAGACCCAGGTGCTCCTGGGAGTTTAGGAGCACCCAAGGTTTGACACCAGGGGCTCTTTTGAAAAAAATTTAATTATTTCATGTGTATAAGTGAATGCCTGCTTGTACGTACATGCATCACATACATGCCTGGTGCCTGTGGAAACCAGAAAAGGGCATTGGATCCCCTGGAACTGGAGTCACAGACTGCTGTGAGCAGCAGTCTGGGTTCTTGGAACTGAACACTGGTTCTTTGGAAGAGCAGCCAGCGCCCTTAACCACTGAACGAACCGTCTCTCCAGCCCAACCAGCAGCTCCTTTTGCTGCTGTCTTTAAGAAAGGGTCTTTCATGGCTGGTTTGGAAGTCGTTATGTAGTCCAGGCTTGCCTTTAATGTTCAGCTACCAGTGGGGGGACTGGGGGTGTGCTGGGATGATAGGCGTGGTGCTACCTATCTGACCCAGTGAAGGTTTTTTTTTTTTTTTTAAGTTTTAATTTTGTTTTCTGTGTTTTTTTTTTAAATTTATTTTTGAGACAGAGTCTCATGTAGCCCATGTTGGCCTCAAACTACTGATC